TTCCAACGCCTAAAAGTTTTTGGCGTGCTAGAAAGGAAAGGAAAAGGCTGCTGTTATGAGGAACACAAAGCGACAGCAATGCAAGAATAACTAAGGAAACATGTTTGCTTTTGTAGAAAATTTAATCTGTCATTGTGTTTGGAATGTTCATCTTTTTGACCCTGTTTCAGTGCTCCTTGCACGTAGGCATATAAAATATAAACAATTTGCAAAATAATTACCATATATGGAATAGGAAACAAGCAAAACCAAGCAAACAATGAACAGGAACAGAAGATTGACTTTCAAATATTCACTATTTAACTGATGAGCACGTAGCACCGATGTCAGTAATCGCAGTGTTCTGGTTCAGCTCTCATCATGGTTCAGTGTTTCGCTGTTTTCCTGATTCTCTCTTTTTCTGGCTGTTCACTGGGAACAACTTCCTCACCTCAGCAACAAAACACCACAAAGTCAAACGATTTATGCGAGGTAAGACATGCATAAATATAAAAGGTAGTACTACTCCGTAGATTACGTACACGAAGCCATCATTTTACCGCTCACATAGTTATGATCACTTACTTATTAAAAGTACCTCACAAAGTGTAAGGCAGTCGATTTAAAAGTCATCGCCTCAGCATGATCTTAACATTAACTGTTAGTTTTCTCTGATTCCATTCAGCTTCAAAGAGGATCTATTTCGTGCCTCTGGATCAAGGGACTCGGCAATAGTGTCTGTCCTTTCTTGACGAACTTTCTTGCCTCTAATTTCTTAGAGGCAAGGTCTGAAATCGGGTATGGATTCTAGAGGCTAGGTCTGTAAACGGGTGTAAAAAATGAAAGTTTTTGGTCCAGAGTCAGGAGAACCCGGCAGCACACCCCCACCAAGAATTCCCAGGAGTACCTCCCAGGTATTAAAGATCCCGTGTCGTTTTCGTCTCCGCTTTAAATTAAACATTATCTTTACTTTCAGCGACCTATACTGGGTTTCCCTGGAATTCCAGGATCAAATGGCATACCGGGAGTGCCGGGCGTCCCGGGGCCACACGGACCCCAGGGTAGGGAAGGTCCAAAGGGACAAATTGGGGATAAAGGATCGCAAGGAAAGCCGGGTCCAAGAGGAGACAGAGGGCGCGAAGGACCTCCTGGGAAGAGTGGACCCCGCGGAATTCAGGGAATGCAAGGTCAACAGGGACTTCTGGGAATGAAAGGAGAGCGAGGCATAGTGGGAATGAAAGGAGAGCAAGGAGCTGTGGGAATGAAAGGAGAGCGAGGCATTATGGAAATTCAGGAAGAAAAGGAGACAAAGGAGAGAAAGGAGAAAGCGCCAAAGAAAGTCAAGCGAGTGCAGTACCACAAACCAACTGGAAACAATGTGTCTGGAAATCAGACATTCATACTGATAACAGAAAGATTAAGGTAAATGGAATAAGAATCATTAATAGCACACTCCAAAGAAAATTCATTCCTTTTTTAATTAAAATATTTCAGAGAAGAACGTCCCCCTTCTCACCCATAGATTTTATCGGAACTGTCATCATTTGCCAACACATTCCATCGATAGCAAAATTAAAGTTTCCCTTTACTCCTTTCCTTGCTGGATAAGGACAACACAACTTTAAGCTATTCAGTACAGAGTTTAAATTAAAGGAAGTAACTTCCTGACTGCAACAGTTAGTATCAGTCATTACACAGTTGGTTGCTTTAATGTAGTATGTTTGATTCTATTCAAGGACTGTCCTTTTCACAAACTGCAGTCTAATTCAGCACTCAAAGTCTCATTCCAGGGCAACATGAGGGTCATTGGTCATTATAAGTGTAACCGGTGGTATTTCAAGTTCAATAGAAATGAATGCAGTGGACCAATGACGATTGAGGCTGTTGTTCACAACTGGTGGCCATCTTCAAGTAACCATCATCTGTATCATCATCGGTCGTTTGAGGGGTACTGTGAAAACATCGCACAAGGAACGGTTAGAGTGGATTTATGGGTAGGACAGTGTAGTGGCGTGCCCCTGGGTGATGCTTACACTGGGTATAATTCAGTGTCCCGGATAATGATTGAAGAGGTGTCTTGGCCCCAGTCCTAATAAGGGAGTCTCTAAGATACCTTGGCACTGTTTCATTTTCCTAAGAAAGGCATTTAGAAATATAGAAAACGTAAAAGCGCAAGGTGCAAAGAATTGTTTTTGATTATTTTCTTTTTAGCAGGAGCCCATGACTACTATTACTCATGGGCGGTTCCTGTTTTTAGCCCTTAGTGGCTTCTTCGTCGTATTAGATTGTCAATAGTAGACTCTGTAACAGTGTCAAAACTATAAAAAAAAAAAAAACTGTATAGCAGTGTGTTGTCAAGGGAGGCACCTTTCGTGAAGACTCAAAAAGCGGCTACTCGCCGGTGTCACAGTGATATAGGTATCTCGGCGTTTTGTACATCCCCATTCCCAAAACCCTAATGATATGGGCATCCGCTGTAACCCTAACCCTAACCATAACCCAAATCGTTAAGGCAATATGAGAGGGGGATGCCAATATCACTAGGGTTTTGGGAATGGGGATGCCCAAATCTCTGTAACATCGGTGTAGGGAACTATGAGTCGCCAGTGTACCATGAAGACGTTTTTGTCTCGCACACAACGCTCCTTCCCGTTCGTGACGAGACAAAAACTGCTGCAAGAGAGACTAGTTGGGGACTATCAGCATGTGGGACTGATTGGCAATGTTGTTTTAGCCGAAAATTTTGGTATATAGTGGAACCCATTCTCTCTTTGGTTACCATGTACACCATCAGATTGTCGATCATTTTCTTAAGTCTATAGATAAATTATGTAGTCAAACACTTCGAAGCTAAGCCATTATTAAAAGGGTCGTGACTAGAATGGATACTCCAAAATCAGGTATCCGCTCGGAGACTGGAACTGAATAAAATTATTTTTCGGCAAATCGCTCCGACTCTTTACGACCTTGTTGTGTTGAAACACTAAGTATACAA